GGGCCCGGGGTTGCCCGGGGCCGGTGGGCGAGAGCTGGCGGGGGCGGGGGCGGGGGGGTTACCGCAGTGGGGCGAGACGCGACACGCGATCGCCCGGGCACATCCGCTGGGTCGGCCCGAGCCCCTGGGCATGGAAACGTGTCCTAGCAGCCGAACAGGCAGCGAGCCTCCCTGAACCCTCATTCCCAGCTGGCCTGGGACTTGCCCAGGAACCGTCTTCTTAATCAATACAGTATAATTGGACTGGGTTTCGTCTCTTGGCTTGTCCGTCAGCCTGACCTTGCCTGCTCACAAGGTCATGTAAATACCGCAGAAACTGTTAAGCCGTGGTGGTAGAGATGTCGCCGTGTTAGTCTGGGGTAGCTGAAGCAAAATGCAGGACAATGTAGCACTTTAAAGACTAACAAGATGGTTTATTAGATGATGAGCTTTCGTGGGCCAGACCCACTTCCTCAGATCAAATCATGTTAAGCCATGGAACCAGTGAGGGCAAGGATGACCTTTTTCAAATACGTTTGTTCTCTCACCGTTTCTATCACTAAGAGAGACAGTAAGTTATTTTTAAAAGTCAAACTTAATACAGTGATATTAAGTGCTACACAGTCCTGTATTTTGTTTCAAACTTAATAGAGTGATAGTGAGCTCGTATTAGTAGGTCTCTGTAATGTGTCTTTAGACGATGCCAAATCCAACAGCCACAGCGGGAGGAAAAAACTCCTTTCTAATTTTTTCTATTTTTTTTTGTTGATCCCTTTAGTATGTGGTCGTTCCTGTCACAGAAAACACTGATTTAAAAGAACATAAGTTAGTATAAAAAGACCCCAAATTCTTAAATCTATGCAATTGGTTAAACTAGATGTTTTCAACATGTTGATAGCCTTGCCCAAGTCTTACTAGAACTGGGGGATGAACCAACGTTCGCTAATACTTTTAAGAATATTTTTGATCTGGCAATCATATCCGCATCCTGCTTCCAAATTTATTTTTTTGTGTAGCAATAGCCCCTAAGGGAGAGATCCGGGCTTGTGAGTTCTCTGTATTTCTAGCTGATTCTACACGTGTCCAGGCTGTGGCACTTTGACATCTGTAGAAGCAACTGGAATGGTGCTGGAAGCCAGCAGCCTGTGACTTGGCAATTCTTCATATGCAACAACTTGATTGCTTTTAAACTAAAATGTGTTCTGGCTCTCTTTGGCTCCCTTTCTTGTGTTACTTGCTTAGTGAAGTTGCAAGGATTGCAGACTTGTATGTGGCTTGCACTCTGTGATCTCAAACACTGCTGTTACCTCCTGGCTCAGTAGTTAAGACTGACATTTTTAACAGCCCTAGGTTGGTAACCTTTGCTATTGCCCGCTGCTAGCTTCAAAGTAATTGCAGTTCTCAGTGTTGGGTTTTCTTTCTCCATCCTCAGCTGCTTTCTCCATCCCCCTCCTGCTTTCTGTTCCTTCTCCATGCAGCAAAGAGGCAGTGTTTGTAATATAGTTAATATATTATTATATATTTTAGTGTTTGTTTATTCAAGATCTTCTAGATGGTAAGAGTTGGGACCAACATAAGGGATGGGTATATGTGAAATGGGATCACTTCTCATAAAACCATACATAAAAGAGACACTCACCAGGCAGGTGAAAGGGGCTGATTGGGGGTGCACCCTTCTCCACTCTCTGGGACTGGCCAGCACTGAACCTCCCATCTCGCAGGGCCCATTAGGGAGGATGGGAAGGGCTGAAGCTTCTGCTGTTTAAATAGTAAAATCTTGTATTTTGGATTGCAACTTTGTTGCAGTCTCCAAAGTGATTTGGTCTTTTCTGTACAGTACAAAAATATTGAATTCTATTTCAACAGGCTGGGAAAGCATTTAGGAAATTTCTTCCTTTATTTGACCGTGTTCTGGTTGAAAAATGTGCAGCTGAGACTGTAACCAAAGGAGGAATCATGCTTCCAGAAAAATCTCAAGGGAAAGTGCTACAAGCAACAGTAGTGGCAATTGGATCAGGATCCAAAGGAAAGGTAAATCTATCCCAATTTTGCACATCACTAACTTTTTTGGATAAAACAAATAGAAGCAGGATGTTATCTGAAAAATGAAAATCTAGATAGCTAAATGATGTTTGTCCTTACATTTACATTGTGCCTGATCTAAACAATGTCTATAATATTTTGAAGAGGACATTTTTAAAAAGAGCCAAGATCTCCTCAGATCTAATTTGGCACAGATAGTCGCTGACCAATTTACTGTGCTTGTCTTTGTCCCCATCTGTAAAATGAGTAATAATACCTCTTTCACAAATGTTTTGAGAGAGCTAGTTATTGATGGTTGTAAAGAGCTTTAAAGAAAACAAGCTCTTTTTAAAAAAATGTTTTCTAGGATGATAGTTTTTCTTGCTTTGGCATTAATTGTTAAATGATGCAATCTGAGTGTTGGGAGGCTGAAGGCTCGTTTTTGCATCATGGAATAAATTGTTGAATAGTCTTATTGATTAAATTGCTATGGCCCACAGTGTGTTTCCACGTTTTAAGAGCAGAACAGAAATACAGACCATGGTTTGTATTAAATATTATGAATAGTCTTGGGTTGTGCAAAACATCATGTGTTAA